TCCAAAAATGCTACCGCAGTGTGCCGAAAGCACACTAGAAATGTGTCAATGGCACGCTAAAAGCATGCTAGCAGCACATAAAAAAGCATACTAGCAGCACATAAAAAGCATACTTTGGCACACTTTTCCCATGCCATTGGGACAATTTAAGTGTGCTTTTTCTAAAAGTATGCTTTTCCGGGACAGTGATGTATAGACATATCTTATGGTCAGGATCTATTGGTTGCGGGCTCTCCGAATCGGAATGAAACAGTGAATCCCTAATTTTTTTCGGTAAAAACAAAGATAAAGATTTCTTCTAGTGAATATTTAGATGTCACGCAGTAAATGATCTTTTTTAATCTAAGACGAGACGATAGATCGCGCTATAGGAGCATCTCTGATTAGTCAAATATTCGATGAGGAAAAATTATCTCTAAAGTAACCATCAAAAAGTGACGAGTCGGGTCATTTCATATCATATCAGGTAACAATTAATTCAACTGAAGTCAGTAAACGGAGATCACCTGATCTGTTTTCTATTTTAAGAACGTGAGACTATCTCTGTTTTTAGCTTTGCATTCTGGCCACTTCATCATCCAGATTATAACAAACCGACCTGGAATGTCATGTACTGCCTTCAATGGATGCTGCCTGTTCTTCTGATTCCAAAGCCACTAGGTTTCGGAGGTTTTGAACACTATTTGTTCTTGATATTGCATTTGATTAGCTTCTTTCTCGAGAAACGGCCGTGCACGATTTGTTCAATCGTGTTTTTGACAGCTGCTATTTTATTATGTTATAATTGTTGGGAAAATTGTATATTCTGGAATTGTTCATAATGTCACCAAGTAATTTTATATCGACGTGCTCTCGCATTGATTCGCCACGAATTATTGAATGTATTCTGTTATGTGATGATTTGAAGAAATTAAAAACATACAATGACGTTGCTCTCATCGGTCAAACTTGTTACCCTTGTAGTACTATTTTATCCACGTTAATGGATAATTTTTGTACTAAAAAGTATTTTGACGATACAATAAATATGCATAAAATTATCTTGAATGTTGTCGTGCAGGATGACTTCGATCGATGTGCACGAAATATTGGCAGAAGTAATGTTCAACATTATGGCTAGAAAAAACAGAAGATACTACGTGCTATAAAACCATACTATAAATTAGATGTTGAAAATTATTTCAAACAATATAAGTTGTATCGTTAAAATATCATTCCAAGTTTTATTTACTTATTTGTTAGCTTCTTTTTTCTTCTCTTCTTTTGCTAATTTACATTCACGATAATACTTATTGTTGTTTTATTATTGTTTATTCTTATCGATTTTTTGTACCTAGTCAGAAATAAATGAAATTATTTCGATATTACGGTATACAAACGTCTATTTTGAATGATCGAGAACTATTCAGAGAATAAGTCCTATGTGCTTGTTTAAACAATAGAGGAAGAGTTGTGATGACATGAAAGACATTTATAAGATGCATCTTAAAGTTTGAGCTGTTTTTTGTTTGACATAGAAATATTTCTCGTCGAATGGATCATCCATATAGTGTGCCCGTTATTTCAACGGAATTACGACGTGCTGAATTTGTTAAACAATTGGCTGATGTCTTCGATCATATGGACCAAATCAGTCAAGACATGTTCAATCGAATAACTATTCGTTTAAATATGTATCGTCAACAATTGAATAAATTTGATGAAAAAATCAATAATGTGAATTTACATATTGAACGTATACGTCAGTTTAAACGAGCAACTCAAATTCATTCTAGTTCACGTTATCCTGTTGAACAAAAACGTTCGATCTATAAATCCATATTTGAAGATAATGATAGAAATACTAACAACTATGAAAATTATTTGACATTACAATGGAATTCATTTAGATTAAGTGATGATGATAAATTTTATGATGTTAACGATAAAGATTCAAAAGCAAAAGATGAAACATTTGTTATATCGATTAATAATGATAATTACATTCAAAAAACAAAAACAAATAAATTACACGGTCTTGGAAAACCCTCGGCAAACATCAAATCAGTCGTATCATTTTTAAAATATAATACACAAGAAAATCCGTAAGTATAGTAGAATTTGTTTTTTTAAAATAAGTTCTTAGAGACAATTCATTGCTCACAGACTTTTTACAAAGCGAGAACAAAATTCAACCAAAAAATGAAATAGATGTTGTAATGAGGAACAAAATATTACTCAGCATGGTACAATTGTGAACAAGTAGCAAGATTTTGTTCTTGTATACGCAATGAACTATTGGAACACTCTCATGTATTCCTGTGATCCTTGTGTTATTATAAATTTGTTGTGTATCAAAATTATTTCTAAAAGAGATCAATTGCCAATACCAATATGAAGTTTTATTCTCAACTTTATTTATTTTTCGTCTATTGTGTAGCTATACGCAGCCCACAAAAATTGATCCATTATCTGTTGCTGGTAAAATGAGAAAACATACTGAAGAACAAACACAATCGCGTACGTTCTATTTTTTTTATGCTTTTTTTTATAATTGTAACTTTAAAATTAGACTTTGTATTTTAATGTTTAGGTATTGGAGAAACACCGTTACCTGCGTTTTATCAATCTATGTCTGCGCTATCAGGACTTAGTGAAATAGAATACAATCCCGTTTTAGGCGCTGTTCCAACGTTATCTCTTCCTGATAATTTGGAATTGCCAAATTTTGCAACAGATCTGTATCAAGAATGGACAATGGAATCAATCGCTCCGTCGTCAGCAAATTTATTACCAGATATAAAAGATCTGACATCTAATTCAGTTATTACTACAGCTACTCAAGCGCCACGTGAGTGATATATTCAAGTTTATTATTATAAATTAGCTCAGACGTAATGTCTTTCATTCATTATGTTCGAATTTTTCTGTATGAGTCACGCAGAGAGAAATTCCAAAACGAAAGTGTAATTGATATAGATGAATAGATTAATTTTCATGCAGCATCGGATTTTTTAATGAATACTCGTTTGACTAATTCTTTTGTTGTTTGTAGCTCCTTCAATTGTTTCTGACGTACCGGCAATTATTCCACTAGTACAATCTACCATCTCCACCATTCCACCACCACCTCCACCCTCTCTTCCAACAGAATCTCTTCAAAAAAGCGTTCTTGCACCTCAAGCACCACTACCGCCTCCAACAACAGTTGATAACAATACGAACGAGCTTGAAGTTGAAAGCAAAGTAAATCAAACACAAAGTATACCAACAGCAACTAGTACTGGGAATCCATTGTTGGATGCAATACAAAATTTTAAAAAAGATAATTTACGTAGTGCTCAAGATAAAAAAATGAGTAAACGAGCAGAAGAGGAAGCAAAAGATGCACCTGATCTATTGAAAAATCTTCAAAAACAATTAGAAAAACGACGATATTTTGTGGCTGGTGGACCCGACGAATCAAAGCGACAGGAAAAAAAAACAGCAACTATGGCTGATGAGATAGCTGGTAAACTAGCTCTACTTCGACAAGGAATGAAAAAGAACAATGATGACGATGATAACAATGATGATGCTGATGATGAAGCAGATTGGGAACAATGATTATTTCTCACGCCACTTTTTGTCTATGTGTAGTCGCATGTAGATATCTAGTAATTCTTTTTTTGAAAAAAGATATTCTGATTCCAATGATCTCTTCTGTAGAAATTTTTTAACTACGTAATGTTGTCCGGTAGGTCTTTTTCTACAAAACATGATATGATAGGGCTCGTGCTTTTGTTCAACATCTCAAACCTAACTCCTCAAAAATGTTTTTATTGTTAAATCTACACAGTATCAAACAATATTCTCGATGACTTTTTTAAACCATCTGTGTTTGGAATAATTATATTTTTTCAGTTTTATTGCATCTTCTATACATACTGCTCTATTCTTTCTTTTTTGTTTTTATAATATTCTCAAACGAATAAAAATGAAGTTAGCTGCAATATACAAAAGATAGAAGAACTTTTCTTAAAACTATATTTTGCAAGAGTTTCTCCTACAAAAGTATAATAATAATAAGTATTTTATATGGTGTTCTGAGACAATAGTTTTTCAGTATGTGTATTTTCTTAATTAAACTTATTAGTAAATTGAACAGCATATTTCTTTCAATTATCAACCATCAATCATCGGTGTTCATTAACCGTGTAGTCTTATCTCTTGTAAAAATAAAGCGGAGAAAATTTTATATATAGCCAATTTGTTTTTGTCTTTCTAAAAACGTGTAATGGTGATTTTTTTTCTTTTTTTTTGTTAATGAATATTTTCATTTCAGACAAAGTATAAAAACAGATCTATTTATCTCAAATATTTTTAATAGACCGTAACATTTCAGAATGCATACTATTTTTAACAGATAAAAACGTTGTTTGCATCATAATGAAGTTTAATCACATCTTATTTAATCAAATGTGTCTGTTTACTTTCAAGATACAACTTAGTTTTCTATATTCTCCCTTGTGTAATGATCTTCTATTTATGGCTTAAAATTAATCAGTCCTTATATAATTGTGAAAATATATATCATCCTACCATTAAATTATCCAAATCACAAACAATGCGTATATAAATGAGATTTAACATATCTGTTCGTCCCTTTCTTATACTCTATTAAGATCACATCATTATCTTTATTATCAAGGGAAAAAAGTAAACTACTGTAGAGAGTAAGTTTATCACACATAATCATTATCATATACACATGTGTTCTACTAATTCTAATAAATAAATAAATAAATATAATGACAATTAATAGATATAATAACGTAAGATCTATATAAAAACAGATTGTTGTATATTGTTCTTTTTCAAAACAAAAATAATGAACAAAGATAACTATTGTTGTGGTAGAATGATTTAATCTTAGCAAGAGATATCTTCAAAAGTGAAATCCTTTTCTAACACAAAAATGTAAATTTATTACATAAACTGTACTTAGTTTTACAATTTTTTTGTTGCAGAATACGAATATATATCATATGATAAAATATAAAGTTTTGCTTGCTCTCTATGTTCAGAAATAGGATATTGCTGCCACAACAGTTGTTCAACATTCTCTTTCTCTTTTTGTTTGAATGCACTATTGAGACCGTTAATGTTACTTTCAAAAGTTCTTCTCTAGAGAAAGCTAAATGTATTTTTTTATGTCAAAAATATTGAGTTTTGATCTAGTCGATAGAAATGATCAACAGTTTACTTAAGTCCTTTGTTTCTCAACGAAAGGAACTCTCGATTTTATCATTATCATTTCATTTTTAGATTCTAGTCTCGAAATCAGATCAAGATATAAAAAGAAAAACATATACACAGTCTTTAGAGGTCTCATCAGTTAACTGATTTTTATTTGAGTTTTTATGTACGTGTATCGAAGTGTTGATTTTATGCGACAATGTTGAGTTCATATTGACTGTATAGAGAAGGAAAAGGTAGAAATAACGAGATGTATTGACACAGAAAACGGAAGTAAGAATGTATAATGTATATGTGTGGAGACATGAAGGGTGAAGTGTGGATATTAGATTGACGGCAAAATATATACTGTGACAACTGTAGTTTACTAGTATTGTATCTATATCAGGATGAAGGCAAAGAGAGAGAAAGAGAGAGAGATGAAGTGTTCCCATTTTCTGAAATGGAAAAACGTTTCGGGAATATGTTACAGATCATTCATATAGAAAAAAACTGTCGCTCTCTTATGCTTTCTCTCTTCCTTCGATTTTTCTGCGAACTGCGTACTGTACTCTCCATCGTTGTTCTTTTTTTTTTCTCATTCTTTATCTTCTAGACATGTACTAAGTTTGTCTCATACACAATGTACAAATTTTCGTGTTAAACATATTTTTATTATATTGTCCAAAGAAGAGAAAAAGAGAGAGAAAGAGAATTTTTGCTGTTCAATCTCTCATAGTATACAAATGTTTCTTTTAGTAATTTTGGTTTTGATTTGAAACAAAAGTAAGAGGTAAGAAAAACCCGTCTAACAATTCGTATAGATTTTTATTCGAAAAAAACTTTATGATTATATGTTCAATCAATGATTATGCAACACCTGTTGCTCCGTTTATTAACCAGGCTTAGTTTTTTAGCAATAGATTTTCTACTGAGCAGTTTAATAATAGTTGGCATACATTTTATTATGTGTGAATCATTTCTGTTCAATAGCTTGACATCGACTATCATTGATTGAAGTAGCTATAACCTCTTTAGTGAGGTTTTCATACAGTATTGCCATCAAGCTTTCAAAAATAGATGACAATAATCGAAAGTGTCTGCTTCGATTCGAACATTTAACTGTCAATTGAACTCTTGACCGAAAAATGTTTTTTTGTATATAAAATTGAGTGATCAATTTCGATGTGAATGAGTATAATTTTCTCTTTTGATTGGGTGTATGAATGTTTTCCTTTTCGTTGTTACTATCTTCTGTTGCGATATCGTTCGAAGGTTTTGATATAGAGATTGCTGATACAATCCTAATTCATGTGTCATAAAGACTTACACAAACCGCCCATTTATTATATCAAAAGAGCAGGACCGCCTCAAAGAGTAAAAGCAGGGGTGAGTCAAAATTTAGGAGTAAAATTCAAATTTTTTTCAAAATGAGAGTAAATTTCCATTTTTTCCAGAAAATTGAAGTAACATAGCGTACGTATCTATAAATCTAAGACAAATAATAACGTTAACTTTTCTGCATTTTTATTTCAAAAAGAACACAAAAAATATAGTGTAATTCGAGCAACTATTTTCCATGAACGAGAATTTCCAACACACTGCTCACACTCACACACTAATAAACAGCAAAAAAAAGTAAAACATTTGAAAGTTGACATACTGTCCAGTATCGTTGTTGGACATTTTCTTTTAAAAGTAGATATTATCTACAATGTAAAGAATTTTTCCACCGTAGAATCAATTTGAACTAAAGTATAGATCAGAATGATAGACGAAAGCATCCAAAAATTAGCAGTCAGCAATCCAGATCAATAGAGGCGTATCAAATAAGATATCTTCCTTTTTACTTTTTGACAATATCTACGACAACAGTCTATGGAGACATTTGCCAAAGAGTGAAAAGAAAGGAAGACATCTTTATTTGATACATCCTTAGCTACAAAAACGAAAGAGAAAATATATCTAAAAATTGTTTTCTTTCAAACTGCGAGCAAACTCTCTCACATATCTCTTCTGTTGCTGTTTATTCTGAGATCGCGAATAAACTCTTTCACACTTGAAAAAAGTATTGATTAATTATTCTGAAGTCGAGAGGAGAGGGAGTGACACCATCGTTCTTCTCCATTTGAACCTACCGCCATGATTGATGACGTTTCATGAGTGTTTTTTTATATGTAAAGTCGGAGTAAACCGTGGGTTAAATGGAAATGTTCGGAGTACAATTTTCCTAATTTGTGAGTAAAATTTTCAAAAAGCAGAAGGGAGTCCTCCTCTCCCATCCCTAGTCGAAGCGGCCCTGCAAAAGAGTATTTATCGTGAAATATTATATCATTCTAGATTATTGAATTTTTCTTCTATCGACCATAAATGCCATTCACCGTTTCGTGAACGCGTTGTAGATAGATTTGATAAACAATTGTTTTAATAAAAGAAAAAGAAAAAACATAGTACTAATTTATGTGTTTGATCTCTATTTTAAGTTGCCGTCTAAAATGGAATATATAGCTACGTCGAATGAACACATACTTCAAGATCATTAATAATAATGATGGTGATGACGAGGTCATAGATAGTTTTTTTACAAGGTAAGGCACACACGTCAATCAATAGAACAAAAAAGCATACATGATTATATTTGCCTCTATACTTTTCTGCGTTGAGTAACCGTGTTAAAAAAACGCCAAATGAAAGAAAGCTTTTGCGCCTAAAAATCAAGATAGACCAGTTTTTGGATTATGATCTATCGGTAGAAATCGAAAAAAACTTTCAATAGGGAAATTTAGATAACTTCGTGAAAGAGACTGTTCTCGTTGGAGTTATACTATACTGTAGTCTAAATACGATTTCTGTTAAACATCAAAAGAATTGATTCTCACTGAAACAAAACGTCAGGTCGAGATTGGTGAGAAGACGATGAAGTCTTACTATAATGAGATGCCTTACTTTATATTTGAAACAACTACAGAGAGTTTTTAGAAATATTACATTTCTGTTCTTCTAGGTCGATAACTTTATGGATAAAAACCAGATGAATAAAAAAAAATGTGTTAATAGTTCAACATCGAAAAAGCAAGAGAAAACAACATACAAAATTATTGTTCTTGGCAGTGGTGGTGTGGGCAAATCAGCAATAACAATTCAATTTGTGAAATCCTACTTTTATGCGGATTATGATCCGACCATTGAAGGTTAGTTAGAAAGAGAGAAAAGGAAAGTTATGAGTACATCAAACATCTTATTTTTATATTTATAGATAGCTACGTTAAACAATGTTTGATTGATAATCAAATAGCAAATTTAGAAATTCTCGATAGTGCTGGTCAGGAAGAATTTAAGCCAATGCGTGATCAATATATGCGTATTGGTGAAGGTTTTTTACTCGTTTTTAGTTTAACAGATCGTAGTTCATTAGATGAAACGTATAAATTTCATCGCGATATATTACGTATAAAGGATTGTGATAATGTTAGTATGATATTAGTTGGAAATAAACAAGATTGTTCAAGACAAATATCACCAGAACAATGTCAACAAGCAGCACGTTATATGCAAATACCCTACTACGAAACAAGTGCTAAACAACGATATAATATTGATGAAGTATTTATAGAATTAATTCGAATTATTCGAAATATGAATGAAAAAGAACGTGCGTTAAAACAACAACATCATCATTTAAATAAAAAAGATAATAGAAGTAATTTTTGTACAAACTGTCTTATTTTATAAATCTGTTTTCGTTTTCTGCACATTATTTGGAAAAGAGAATGTTAATGTTATACATCATTCTGAGCATGTGTCAGATTGGTCGAATTTCTTTTATATATCGAAAATTGGATTTTTTATTCTTTTTCTACTTTAATATAGGAGGTTATTTTCTAAACATGACAGTGTATCTTTTGTTACTAAAACTATGCACCTTTTATCGTCAACAGTATAATGTCATTGTTATAATTTGTTGTTATTGAATTTTTTTTTCTATTGTATAGATAAAAAAACAAATGCTCAATGGTATTTGTTAACAACACGTCTATCGGAATGGGTTCATCAAAGTATATCTGGATGTAAAAAAGTGAATAAAAGTAACTGCTGAACTATCGTGCTGTTTAATACCTTTTGGTTTTTCTTTAGCAAAATGCTCATCAAAATAATATTTTTACCAATTGAGAATTGAACAAAGTTTTGCTACCAGTGTGCTCTACAAATCCAGTTACGCTCCTGATGTATTGCATGCTTGAAAAATCAAAATATTCAAGACCACTTCTTCAAGTGTATATGGATATGATTGCTCTGTAATTGTACTCAATTGGTGACTGCGCTATAGTCAATTGTTTGAAAAAATGTGAGATACAGAATCTGTCTAATCTTTAGACAAACGTATTGATGAAGAGGATGATACAAAAGCTACTTTTTTCTCATTCTATGTATATGAGAACTAATGAATACAAACTTTAATTCAATCACAACGGTACCATCATTGAAGATACAAGTACATATTATTTTGTTAGATATCGACGATAGCTACACTGTGTAATCCTGCAATTATTACTTTAAATTTGTTTTTTTGTTTCAAAAAATCTAAATCAAACTACAATCCGTTTCAAAAAGAGCGATTTTGAATATTCTTAGTAGAACATGTGACATTTGTATTCAATCTCGGTAATACCTGTTACAATTACTTTTGATGTTTATGAGATAACGTATACAAGAAATATTTAAAACTACTTAAAATAGCACTTGAAAGATACGAATCAACATGCAATGTACGATTGATGAAATAAGTAATAAAAGCCATCTATTGTTGTCAAAATAAAATATATGCTGATTGTAACAAGCAGAGTACACATAAAAGAACGCGCAATAGTGTAAAAAAAGCAATTGAGATTTTATTTTCTAATATCAATTGCTATACTTAAAAAGTTAGAATCATAATATTTGTTTCATCTAGAAATGTTAGTCGATCCAAAAGTCGGCATCAGTATAAATGAATTAAAACTTAATCGGCAACGTGAAACATGTGGAGACTTCGTCAGCTCGCGAAAGGGAAGCTAGATTTTCTCCAAAAATAGTTTTCCCTGGCCAAAAATTAATTATGTTAAGAAATCGCTAGTTTTTCGCTCAATAACCTTTATTTAACTTGTTGAGGGGTAATAATTTCAATATAAATGTAAGAGTATCAGCAGCTGTTTGAAATTAATTCTAATTTTATTTACGTTTTATCTACTTTTCGAAAGTACAACTTTCATTTTCAAGAACTGTAATGTTTAAACGTTTTATGATTACAGTTCTTGAAAGTGAAAGTTGTACTTTCAGTAATCTTTGACAATAATGAGAATGGCGACACAGCTAACATTTCTAATTTCGTGAGTAATCACAAAAAAATAACGGCATCTATGTATGGAATATAGCAGTGTTTACGTTACATGTTTGTAGATTGTGTTTTATCTTCAGAAGTATTGTTTCTTTATGATGAACTTCCTCTATGCCTTGCACCCGAATCAGATGCAGTTGTTGATTTAGACTACGAATAAATATTATGTAAGTAAATGAATTTATATTCAGACTTTTAGATGCCTGGCAACAACGATGGCGTCTCGCTTGTATATTGTCTGATTTCAAAAGATGTACCTTCAATAATCAAGAAGAATCATGTACGTGCCTGATATTGTTAAGTTATTTAAATTATTAAAAAGTCATTCATGCGATGAACTGCCATCTTTTCCAAAATGTAATAGACTAAGATATTTTTCGAATATCTTTTGAACAAAAACTGATAGAGACTCGCGGTTTTCATTAATACAGATCACATCGAGAAACCTTGATCTATGGCAACAACAGGCTAACTACCGCCTGTGGACAAAGATGTGCGTCGCCACACCGGTTTGCAGATTCGTCGCCGCCGCTGAAGGCGAAGAAAAATTGTTTTGACTTCCGCTGCTGCCGCCATGTCCTAAAATATTTGTCACCGCCGAAAGCGAAGATAAATTTTTCAAGTTCATGCTGCAGCAAAATGTATTGAATATAGATGTAATCTTGTTATTCGTTTTTTTTCTTCGGAGTGATAAGTGAGCACTAAATGAATATTCTATATATTTCATATCGAAACGTGAACAGAATACGTTGTTTCTTTGTTTGTTTGCAGCACAGAGTGTGGCATTTTCTTTGATTTTACATAAACTGTATGACGCAGGGTTTTCTTACTCTTTCTGTTGGTACGTCCTTACCTTAGACATCTAGCGCGCAGCGCTTTTCTATCTTTTCGCATACGACAATGTACAGGTACAGTTAGTCCACGAAAACCTGTCGGAAACGAAAGAGAACGTTGTTTTAGTCAAATTTGGAGATTCGCCGCCGCCGCCGAAGACGGAGAAAATTCTTACAGTCTTACGCCGTCGCTGCCGAGAACTTTTTGTCGGCGCACATGTCTGCGTGCATGGTGTACCTTATGAGTAAAAAACGATCTGATTCCTATTTCATGCGAAAGAATTAGACCGAGAGGTTCGAACCACAAAGTTATGCAAGCCTCAGATCTTTATCTATCCTATCGTTCAGACGCGTTATACAGAATTTTCTAAGATATGTTCGTTTTCTCGTTTTGAGGTCTGATAACCTTAAGAATGAATAAAAACATATACATTTACCCGTACTGAGTCTTCTGGAAATGCTTATCTTTCAATAAAGGCAGAATAAAGTTTTACGAAATATATTTATTACTTCCTATTTTTATCAAAAATTATTGATCAGAATGACTTGAAAATTACAGCCTATAGTTACTTCAGTGACTTCCAATATGTTTAATACAATTTTAGAATTAAATTGTGAAATGACCAGATTTTTACATATAAAGTTTTCTAGGAAACTCTTGCGAAAAATAAGTGTAGAGTATGGAAGTTTTTGAATCCCTAAGTAGACTACTGATCTTCAACATATATATATTGTATATTGTAGTTTTTAATGTTTTATTAGCAGATATTTCATTTTTTAGATAAAAAATAGCAAGATGGAATTTTTCAGAGACATGTTGTTACTATTAATATTTATGGCGGGTGCAGCGCTAACACTATTTGGTTTACGTTATTTTGTCTACTATAAATCTGAATGGATAGCGAAACTTTATTTTAAGTACGCGATAAAAATTATTTTCATATATTCTTGATACATTTAGACTAATATTTCTTATTTAGACTAAATGGAATAAAATGTGGTATTACAAAGTATATATTATTCATTAATGATCAGACAAGTTTTACGTATTGTGAAAAAGGAATAAGAACAGATACTAAACCGAGTCTTCTATTCATTCATGGTTTGGCATCAAATAAAGAAACATGGATACCAATAGTCAAGGTAAATTAATTACTCACTATTATCCCAAATGCTAAATGCTGTGATGAAATTAACTTAAGGATATTCCTAATACTTATCATTGTGTTATGGTTGATCTTCCAGGACATGGTGAAACGATCTGTAACGAGACTTATACAATTGATTCATTTGTTAAAGCATTGAAAACAGTATGTAAAGATGACTATAATCTTTGGCATTTATTTGAGAGTGTTTATTTTAATTTATAGTTTATTGATTGTTATGGTTTAGTAGAGACTAATAAACCATTATGCTTAGTGGGTTCGTCGATGGGAGCAACAATAGCAGCGTTGTTTTCTGCTCGATATCCTGCTTATGTAAGCATGGTCTGTTTGTTAGCTCCTCCAGGTAAGTTTTCTTCTCGTTTGGCTTTGAGGACAATTTCACTATTTCAAGATTGTGCTTTCTTTCTATATCAGCTTTTGCTTGGAAAGTAATTTCTTTATTTTGCTCTAGCTGGCTATAATAACAAAGTTATACATGCATAATACTTATAATACTTTTAGCAGTTAAAATAAACGTCATAATCTACTTTTACTAATTATTGTTATTTGAACTTTCTGCTTTGAACTATCCGAGCAAAAAGATGAGTTACTATCTCTGTTTTATCATTAATTGCAACTAGATTCATTTTTTATTAAAATAATATTTTTATTTAATTTTTTATTATTTTAACTCTGTTGATGAATCGGTGATTCGAAAGCTATAAATTGATTAATAAAATAAAAAAAATGAATTTAGCTGCAATTAATGATAAAACAGAAACTTTTATCGTAAAAATCCTACCATTAACAAAAGTCAATAGATGAGTTAGTAGTATTCGACCTTGAATCGTAGTTCGAATAGGACTTGAGAGAACGGTCCACTAAAAGATACAGCTAAACGAACCTTCTAAAGAAGAACGAGACAGAAAAGAACATTTTACTGAACAGGACAAACTTATAATATAGTTAACAATGAATACGTTGTCTCTCTGTTTTTCGTGCTGTTTGAGCAAACAAAGTCAGATATAAAGTTGAATTTCACTTGGAGGCTATCTTTCTTAGAATATGATAATCAATGAACCTATTTCTAATACTTCTTGTTTACAAAAATAGTTAGTAGTTAGCACACAACAACCTATGATCGATCTATAGAGAAATCTGTTGTAAGATTGAGTAGATCAGTAGCAGAAATCAATCATTTGTACAATGCTGAAATCAATTAGTTCATACCATCTGTGGATACCAGAATAAGATAATAGTTAGCAAAGATATGATTGAATCGTGTCCACATGTATCAGTTTTTGAGAATGGTAAAAATAATACTTTAATAATAATGATGATGACTTAACTGAGTTTTGATTAATAGTCGATTGTATTCGTTACCCTGATTGTGTATAATAAAGCCACCTATTCCATAAATAATTACGTGAAAAATAAAAGTCTCTGTTAGTACTTAGATAGTTGAAAATAGTCTGCATAGAATATGATAAAATTGACATTAAAAAGACTTAGGGTTTTCGAGTTAGGCGTCAAAGTTCTAAAATATTAATTAGAAAAAAATTTGACATAAAATCTCATGGTTGAAAGTATAATCTTCTCGTGGCTAGTCGTAATGCCTAATTTAAGATCGATAGTTCCTTTTGTTTCAGTTAATGAAGTGTCATGTACTTTGTACTATATTATCCTAATATGTAGAAGACATTCATTATTAACAAAAATTTACGAATTAATTACAAGAAATGTAGAAAAGTTAAAATGCTAAATCATAACATGCTATAAGTAAAATAGAGAAATACTTAATCTTCTATTTATTGAAAAATTTTCTGACAATGGTGGGCACAAATCTTATAATAAAGGGTTATACAGGGTGGGCCAAAAGTTACTTTATCGAGATAGATACATATTATTATTTACAGTTTATTTTTATTTATATGAAAAAAGGACAAAACTCGTCTGATCATTAGTCATGCGTCTCTCTATCTGAAAATAAAAAAAATGACAAATAATAATTATCAGAACTATTAAAAAAATAATTGTCAAAAAATTGAAATAATAATTTTTTCTCGGTAAAGTGACTTTTGAGCCACCCTGTATATACCACTAAAGAATTTGAAAAATCGAACACGTTAATTGTACATATAAAGTTACAATTCGATGTTAAGACTGTTAAATGAGAAATACAATCTGGAATTAAAACATCTAATTTTTATCCTCAAATAAGAATATTCTTGGCATAAAGTACTTGGTTGCTCACATGAAACAAGATCGAAACACCGATAGTCATAAGAACTAATAGAAAATAGGAAAGTTTAAATTCTCCATAATTTCCCAGTTTAGATGTGAGTTAACTGTTCATTAGTCATGCATTTCAATTGACTGTTATTGAATTCGTTTCAAGAAGAGTGTGTAAATGCGGTATGTAAATCGTTTAAGACCGGGCTATATGACGAAACTCAAAAAATTGAAGTTACTGGTAGATGATGACCTTTCTATTACGATGTTCTCTCTATAAAATGCATATTTAAAAAACACTCCAGAAGGAAGATCTTTTCATCTCTATTACTAAACTAATAAGGACTTTAAAGAAGTTTTAATAAAGACAGAGAAGATTTTAGTAAACCCTTTCGATGTTTCGAGAAGCGTTGGTGATCTACTGAAACGATATCGGTATGCAGCCAATCGCAATTTTTTATTCACATGATGTATATTTTTCTTTCTGTTTAAAATTGAGAATGGAAAAAAACATCATTTTTATTGTATGTCGATTAAAAACATTCATTTTAAATCAATAAATAGGAATATTTTAATATGCACTTTGAAAAAACAATATAAATATTTGTCGAGAGTTGCACAATCAAAAAAAGCGCATGATAATACATAGAAATCTAAACCAGGCTAATTGTCGATATCTGATTTAAATCAAAGACTAATCTAGAAATATTACAAACATCTAGCTTTCGTGTAAATTTTTAGAGTAAATAGCAGAGCCTGCATCTTTGTTTCTAACATTATTCAGTTACCATCTTGTTCTATTTCCTTACATGATATATGAGAAATCAATTTTTTGGAAAAAATTTTCAAAATTTACTGGATTGACTGCATACTTCTAGCTAAAAGCACTCGTTACATATGCAATTATAGATAAATTATCGATTCTGAGGTTGTTGTTTTGATGTTGCTTGATTATTTTTTGTTTATCGTGTGAACATTGTGACAACGCCCTAACTCTTGGCTAGAATTATTGATTCTGCCTAGCGGTATGATTGTACTATATGCTTTTTCATAGTTCCACAAAACACTGGACTATATTAAATTTCATTTCTTTTCTCGCAGCTAATGAATCATGTGAAACTGAGTTATCATGATCAATACGTCTCGGTTGTTATGACATCATTTTACCACAAACTAATGAACAATTTCGAAACATGTTCAGTTTATTTAGTGTAAAAAAATTAAATTTACCAGAACTTTTGATGAATGGATTTCTTAAGTTAAGAAAACGAAGTATTGTGCAACATAGAAAAGGTAAAAAGAATATTTGTATGCCTATATCCAACTATACATTCTTCATCATTCTTGTTAGTATTAGATTCCTTACTATTGAATGATTATCCAAAATTAGAACAATCTTATAATGAATTAAAAAATATCTCATCTCCAACATTGATATTATGGGGACGAGATGATAAACTGTACACATATTTTGGCGCTGACTATTTCAGATCAATTATACCAAATTCAAAAGCTTTGATTCTCAATGATTGTGGGCATTTTATGGGTTTGGACCAAGGGAAAAAAATTGGAGATTACATAACACAGTTTTATGATAAAAATTGTCCTGCTACAAGCCGCATTTCGACAAAAACTATTTCTTAGATGGATGATTTTCAATGTCTCATTTTATTCATTCTCACAATGAACACATTACATTTTTTTAGTTTTACTATAGAATGATCTTATTTATCTCTCACCATAAAGAATGTCAGAAATTGGACATTGAACAAAAATAACTTATTGCTTTATATTTAACAGTGTTCGTTTATTTTGTGGAGAAGAATTGGTTTTAGTAGATTTGATAAATTTGAAAATGACAAATATGGTAGAAACAAGTACAACATGTTTGATATTGACCTACTAAATAAAATTTTTTGCCGAAAATTTGATGTTTGGTCCCGAGTACTTCCAATCAGGTCCATCCAGTGTGTACGTACAACCACACGATGATACAATTTGACTATGTATAGTGTGTACTACTACTAAGCCACCTTATCCACCTCCTAAAATAGTCGTGCGGAACAAGATCTTATGTAGATCAAAATTTGAACACTACAGCTTTTCTAGTGAGTCCCAATGACTAATTCCGACTTTATCAAAAACTTTCAGGTTTTATTATAATACCCGTTCGAAAGAGCATACACAATTGCACTTCCTCTTCAGTCCAAAACTAAGTTTTTCGTTGATGAAGTTTCGCACAGGAGTTCTTATTTTCTTTGAAACAAATCGGATATTTTGCACAGCATGTGAAAGATCAAATTTCTAATAATTATGATCAAATGGAAGTGGTTTTCAGACTTATTTGAATGGCACAAGAAACAGGTCTCTAGCGCTTTTTTCCGCCTGTACGCTACACTAGCTCTTTAGACATACTTTTCACCACTAGTCGAATACTGTCTGAGACTAAAAGTTGACGTATAGTTTTATAGAAAATCAAGAGTAAGATTGGCAGTTTTTGATATTTATGGTACCTTTAGAATCGTATAGTGGGTAAAGCCTCGTCCTTGATCAAAACACAGAAATTTTAGGCTTCAAGCGTTGATGACGCTTCCAATTATGCTTTTTTTCTCGGACTTCGTACAACTGCTATACAAAGAAGTTTTGAATTGGAATGCTGAATCCTTTGTAAAATATATACAACCTTCTGAGCTCTATAAATGCCACTTCTGAACGAAGATAGATAGAGAGTTACGGTTTTCGCTATTCAAGAGAAAAATTCGAGGGACACTCTTACTAAGCAAAATGAATTTAGAAAAAATTGTAAAAATTGAATATCCATATTTTTCTCCAAAGATTTTTTAGAAGGTCTCACGACAAACCGTAGGATTCTGTAAATTTTTGCAGATTTACCATCAATATAATATATAGAATAGCATATCTACTGAATTTTAATTTTTTTTATATCGTCTACTTACGTTCAGTGCACAAGATTAACTATATTCTGAAGTTTTTAACTGATTTTGATGTTTTTTGAGTGAATTATGAATTTTTAGAATTAAGTGAACTTGGAAAAAAAATCCGATAAGTTGTATTATGATTGTTTGAACAACCGTGAGTCACCGTTAGACACTATGCAATCTTATTTTGATAAACGAAACAGTGTGAGTATGGTGATATTTCAATGATTGATTATTCGACATGACAATATGAAAAAAAAACTGATTCTCATAGTGCATACTGATAAAAAAAACTCAACAAACCTGAATCAGTTTTTATTTCGAATGTAATATCCAAATAAAAACTGATAAATTATATACTATTGATAAAAAAAACCTGAAATATACAACTGATAAATTATTATACAACGATTGAGACAACAAGTTCGTCAAGTGAAGAAAAATCAATAATACAAGAGGAAGAGAAGGATAATGAAAGTGAAATACAGTACTGGCCAAAATTATAGGTTCACCTTTATTTTTAATTTTTCCCCTCAACCATAATAGCTAGAACAAATGTGAAAAAAGATTTGAACAACTGAAAGAGTTTGTAATCAGGTGCGGTGCATATGAAAATTCCATTAAAATTTCTGCAAACTAGATCTGTGGAAAACCAAGATTTTAGAAAATCCCAAAAAATCAAATCCCGTTTTTCCAACGGAAACTTTTTTGTAAATAGCCCATTCGTGCAGAGCAAACATTTCGGAACAAAACTAGACGTCACCGAACTCTCTACGACGTTTTTACATTGAACTGCATTCAATTTACGAGAGGTCCCTCGGTCATTTTCACTATCATTTTTGCTCTTTTCCTAGCAATTTTGGCGATGGTGATGTGGAGGGGCCCTTCGTAAGTTGAATGTCGTTCGATGTAAAAACGTCGTAGAGAGTTCGGTGACGTCTAGTTTTGTTCCGAAATGTTTGCTCTACACGAATGGGCTATTTACAAAAAAGTTTCCGTTGGAAAAACGGGATTTGATTTTTTGGGATTTTCTAAAATCTTGGTTTTCCACAGATCTAGTTTGCAGGAATTTTAATGGAATTTTCATATGCACCGCACCTGATT